AGTATGCTTGGATGTCTGACAGTGAGCCTCATGTCCCTGGAGGAACATTAACCATTGTGGACTGTGGTCAACAGGTTCTCGTCTATCAGTCAGTATAATATATACAAAATTAAAATAAATGCAGATCATCACCAGCCTTTGATCTGACATCCTTGATCATTTGATGGGTTTCAGAATATCCAGTCAGAAAAGGTCCTTATCATGATCCATTTGCCTCAGTCTTCCTTGCCACACCCCATGACTTTAGTTCACCTAATGTGGTCTATTTTGCACATACATGTACTGCTCCAAGCCTGTTTTTCCTTTGTATGCAACCACTGTATCACGACTTCCTCAGCTGGTGTGTATAAAGGTGCCCCTGCTAGCATGTAACAAGAATTGTGAAGGAAAGTCACACTTTCAATCAAAAACATATTTGTCTTTCCTTGAATATTTTTTGGTTAAGTGCCTGATATTGTCAGTGTCATAAAAATTTTTAAAAAAGATTTTCATAAGGATTTTTCTTTGACAGACCTAAGTCAAGCCAAGGGACAAGTTAGGTAGAATTACGACTTTAAATGTCCTCATTTCTGAGGTGTCCATATTTTTTATATTTTTTTGATAAAATATGTAGATTTACCTGTTACTTTACCTGTTACGTAAAACAAATTCTTAAAATGTGAAAAGGAATCGTTCAGAAGATAATTTTTTTTATCCCATCGTTTCACAAAATCCAGTTGAAATGTCGTGATTTTTATACCCATAATTTCAAGTGATTTGGTACCCAAATGGGTATGTGATTTTGTAGATCTACAGTGCTGTGCAAGTTATATTCGTACGATCCAAAATGGCCGCCGTTTGTTTACATATCGACTTGCTTTTACAGAGCGTCATTTATTAATGAAAAAATTATCTACATACCTTAATGCTTGGTCAGATGACCTTTCATTGTCAGAACTTTAGATATCCGGCGTGGAATAGATTCATAAAGGCCACGAATAAAGTCTAGCTCAATGTCCTGCCAAGTGATATGGATCGCTTCAAACAGCTGATCTTGGTTAGTGATGTTGTTTACGGTGTCCTGTAGTTTTTGCTTTAGTTTTAGCCAAACATTTAAATCCGGTGATTGTGCTGGCCAATCCATCGTATTTATGGCATTGTCGGCGATGAATTTTTTCACAATATTTGCCCTATGAACGGGCACATTGTCTTCTTGAAATATATAGTTATTGTCTGGAAAATGTCTACAAATTACTGGCCACAAATTATTGTCCACAATTTCTATGTATTTCTGGGCATTGATGTTACCATTTACACGCACCAAAGTCCCCACACCATGATAACTGATACTCCCCCACACCATCAAACTCAACTTCCTGGTTCGAGGGGGACACATGCACTCGGGTCGATCGGCTTTATTTTCCTTTCTTTAAATGTATACACGATTATTATTTCCAATAACCACCTGACTCTCATCAGTAAAGATTACATTTTTCCAAACATCATTGACAGTTTTTTTCCTCATACTCGGAGTAGACACAAGACACGTTTTCTTCTGTTCACCCCCCTCACAAACATCTTTTTTTTCGTGATGCGCCTGTAGAATCCTTCTCGGTGTAATTCCCTTTGAATTGTTCTTTTCAAGACAGGTTGGTCTCTCACCAAATTGAAATTACCAGTGATGTCCTTCAAAGGTCTCTGTCTATTATTTTTAACGAGTCTGAACAGCGCGGTGCGATCTCTGTCTGACAACTTTTTTGTCTAGCTTGTCTCGGGATGTTTTCTACCGAACCCGTTCGCTGAACTTTAGCAAAAATACTACTCAAAGTAGACTTGGGAACCCCCAACAGGTCAGTAATCGCTTGATAACTTTTCCCCTCTTCTTATAACTTTAACACTATTCTTTTCACATCACCACTCAATTCCTTAGATTTTCTCCCCATGTTTGCACTGATTAGCGTATGTTTTGATCAAAACAGCAGACCACACTTTGAAGGACATCATGTGACGGTCACATAATCAAAGTGACGTCATATCAAATTTAACATGGTTCCGAGCATTATTGACGCTACGCAAAACATTTTTGTGCTTGTAAAATATTTGACGGTTATAACTGGCACGGCACTGTACCTAGAATAATTTTGTTTAAGTTTCAAAGATATGCATTAATTTTAGTATCATAAAGTTAATTTACTATCACTTTCCTATCAATACAATACAATTAACTTAGGTTTAACCAACTTAACTGGCCTCTTCTTCAGTGACAAGATGTCAATTTCCTATCAAAAGCAAACAATCAATTTCAAGGATCATAGTCATAATCATATTATGAACTTGAAGAAATGTTTTATTATAATATGTTCTGCTCATTTACTATTGTTGGCAATATACATGAAAACATCAACATAATTATAGATCTATTGTCTTATTTTCTTAGATATAAATTCACAAAGTATCTTGGGTACAATGATAAAAACGATAGATAAAACTGCTAGTATTTTGATTGTTTTTCGAAATCTGCATTATTTGCTACTGAATGGTGTACCTAGAATGTATATAAGTTGTGATTTTGTGTATATTAAAACATTTTTAATTATTCGCGGTGTTTGTTGTCTTTGTTCAACTTAACAAACCCCGTGTTGGGCCATGTCCAAATGTGTTTCTTACGTTTGGTCCGCTTGTTAACAGCAGGCCAATGTCAGAAAGTTTATCAACCGAAATCATTTGCAAACTCGATAAAAATGTGATATTTTTTTTACAAAGATTTATGCATCCGTGTAAATAATTCTAGAAAATTAAGTTTGATGTAACTAAGGATTGTAATACTATTACGGGATCACGTTGCATGTGGAGTTGTTTGTTTACCGCCATTGCCATGATCGTACAAGTTCCATCCAATCGATGATGTTATGATTCAGATTGTTTTTGTTTACAATTAATCACACCAAAATTTGCTAATTTATAGAAATAAAGGAACTTGAGGGTTTTCTTTTCATCAGGTAATGAAAAATATGATCGAATGTTAAAAATGATAACATTATAAAGAAAATATCGGATTGCATGCTGCTCAACTTGAAGAACCAAAAAGTCAACAATGGCCGTTTCTGGTAGTTGTGTGCCGAGAAGTTTGGCCAAAACCTTTTTAACTCACGATATTTTCTTTTTGAGGTAATAGAAACAACTGAAAGTTTGGATATAGAGCAAGCTGAGCATTTACGCATGTCATACATAATTCAAATGTTACGCAAAGCCTTCTTTTGTTTGTGGGTGTCCTTATGCTATTCGACCTGTCAAATGCGTTTGACATTAGCATTGACAGCTTTAATTTGGACAAAATGAATGTGTCAGCTTTCGGGTTTTTTATTTCCAACTAATTTAAGCTGTAAAAGCATTATTTAAATAAGCATGAAATACTCATATATGACACTTTTGGAGGAACATACACACAAGCAATGCAGAACCTACCAACAAGATAGGAAATGTATTCAATACACAAGCAATGCAGAACTTACCAACAAGAAAGGAAATGTATTCAATACTGCGAGATGACATTATGTGCCAAGTTTGGTGAAGAAATATGGTACGATTTTCAAGATCTGCTCCGGAAACGAGGACTACCGCCATTTATAAGTCAAAGTCGTGGCCATGGAAACTAAAAAAAAAATTGTTTTTAAAATCCCAAACTATCAAAAGGCACCAGTTCACCGCTAGACCTATCTATGTGCCATGTTTGGTGAAGAAATATGGTACGGTTTTCAAGATCTGCTCCGGAAACGAGGACTACCACCATTTATAAGTCAAAGTCGTGGCCATGGAAACTCGAAAAAGCATTCTTTAAAAATCCCAAAATTATCAAAAGGCACCAGTTCACCACTAGACCTATCTATGTGCTAAGTTTGGTGAAGAAATATGGTATGGTTTTCAAGATCTGCTCCGGAAACGAAATGTGACTTCGAGGAGGGGGATAATAATGTGATAAACATAACTTTCATATGTATAAGCAGTAGGATTAGACCTTTCAAATGGTGCATAACATGTAGTAGCAAAAATGTTTTACAAGCAGATATTTTCCTTGATAAATGTTGGCTTCATCTATCACAAAAGAGTCTCTGGGAACTTGGTGTCACAGCAGTAAAAGCTTCTGGTTGACTGGTGTTGAAAGAGTTCATTGATTAATTTAATTCTAGTCAGATTTCAATTTCTGGATGCCATGCTCAACCTGGGTTATGACAAAGACTTGTAACGAGAATGAAGTGCTTATGTGTTGAGATGGAAAAGGCCTATGGCCGCCTGCATATCCCAACATGATCATCTGTGTCAAAACTTATTCCTCAGGCTCAAAACTGGCAAGAGACCATCAACTTTTTCTATAAACTCCACAAAAAGGAATGTTTCAATAAGTAGTCAGCTGTTGGATGTCCTGTTGAGATGGCCATCTAAACTTGGTTAGAAGTCCACTGGCTGGATCCCGGGTGGCAGGTGATGATACGGAACAGTCGGCATCGGACATACTTACAGTACCCCATCTTGTGCCCGTTAGGTTCTCTGGCTGACCAGATGATAGGCCAAGATGAAGATCTGACATAATTATTGAGCATTTCTCAAGATTCAAAGTTACCTGATTAATGTTTACCATGCTTTGTTTATATTTAAAATAACAAATAATTGCAACTAATTTCAGGGAATATTTAATCCGCTGACAGTTCAAAATTGACAGTCGTCTGCCATCACAACCCAATGTTGTTGTTTTTAGCTCAAGACAGAACCCACGTTTTTGAAATGTGCCTCACTTTATGTCTTTTGTACAACAGCACTGAAAAGGTTTTGGGATAAATGTTCAGAAATCAAGAAATATAGGAAAATGCTACACTGAAACGAACCTCTCTCAGGGGAAAGAGTTTACATACCTTGTGGAAACATCAAGCACAGGGCGGATTTTGTGGGGATTATTGGAACATAACTGTGACTACCTTTCCCAATCACTGCCTTATGTTTGCAAAGAAAAGACTTCCAGGTCCTACCTCCACTGCATGCTCAGGAACATCTTCTCTGTTCAGTGCTCTCCCTGTGGTGCTGATCATGCCTGAAGAAATGCACAAAGAACATACAGAGTTTGACACTTTCTTTGATTATTTACATTCTAGGACCCATTGGCATGAAGCAACTTTTGCACAACTATAGTTAACTACCTTAAAGTGTGCACCCAAGCATAATGTAGGCACCCCGCTGTTGGAGCGGCAGAGAATTCGAGTATTTTGTGCAGTAAAACACCACATCATATCTATTCAGCAACTCAGGTGAACGAACGGTTTTTTAAAGCGAATAACACATAAATAAATAAATAAATCATTTTTTACACCTTGAATCATTAACAACTACTAGATCGTGTTAGTAGGCAGAGCATGTATACTGTTTTGTCATCTATCCCTCCTCCCCTCTGGTCTATAACGCTCATCAATTATTTGGACCCCAAAGGTAGCGTTGTAGCGAGGGATCACTGTATTCCCCTAACTTTTATACTTATCATGTCACAACAGGATGCAATATTCCTTCTTGCTTCAATCATAAAACAGTGCAGAACATTGTGAAAACAATCCTCACCAGAATACACCCTCCTACCACCTCGCTCCCAGCATGCTCCTGCACTACTCATCACTTTTTCCATGATCACCCGTAGGCAGGTGATAAGTGGATCCAACGTTCTGGGGATGGACGGGCAGGCAGTCATGACCAGTTGTGTCAGGATACGTATATATATAAGGGGAATACTCTGATTCCCTATATTTTTTAACTTCACAACAGTATGCAATTATCCCACGGTAGGACGGCAGGTTAGAACAACTGCATATCCCCATTTGCAATTGAGAGGTCGGTCCAGAGCACGGACTTGACTAGACTGCCGCTTTGTCTTCAACCTATGGGCGTGTTCAACTTTACTAGTCCCGTAATTACATTGCAACCTGGAGGTACTTGATTGATCGGGAACCGTAGTTACCCTCACGATACATAGTACCCTTGGTACGGAGTTTAATGCGATCATTCCGTAGAAAGAAAGAACAAACATGCAGGCGTACCGATATGGGCGTCCAAAATGGCAGGCACTCCGTTCCAAGTCGGCAGGGACGACGAGTTGCTGCGCGAAAATGAGAACACCCAGCAGGTCCTTCGACATCCTCAATGGACATATCTCGGAGGTAGAAGTTGGTGAAAGTAGAGTCGGTTCGCCAAAAACAGCCTCGGAAGATATCTGTGACTGAGCTGTTGTTGTGGAGTGCCATTGTGGATGCCAGCGCCCGAATTTCATGTGGAAGGGAAGCTCTAGGTGGATCCAAATAAGCATGGGCGCAAGCCTGAAGAAAGTTTCAACATAACCAAAACGACAGGGTATTCTTGGAAATAATCCAGAAACCCTCCTCAGTGGTGGTGAGGAAAAGAAGTTTACGTTGATGCCGAAAATGACAGGTGACATAATGCACGAACAGGACACAGGGAGATGTCCTCTGTATCACTAGACCCAACAATGTTAGTCAGCGGGGCCATAGTGAATGGTCGATCCGCCTGACCAGGGCATTAATTTTGGACAATGAAGTCTAAGTCCCACATGAAGCCAAGATGTACCTCTGCACATGGAAACAGTCAAACTTGACGTCGAGAGCGTGGAGATCATTGACGCGTGCCGCATTGGCAAAAGACAGAAGAAAGGCAGTTTTCTGCGTAAGCGGCACCAACTTGCATGGGAGAGAGGTTCGTAGGGATTAACAAGGAGGTGACGTAGAACCAGTCACAAGTCCCAGGCTGGAGATCAAAATTTTAATCGCTGATCACCCTCACTTAAGGATGGCAGTGAGTTCAGGAGCAGTGGCAAGAAGGATAGAACAGGAGGCGCCAAGGACCGAGTTAACAGCTGAGACATAACTGGCAATAGTACTGCCTGACAAATGTTTGGTCTCACTTAAATAGACAAAGAAATCAGCTATGAACAGAGTAGAAGCCACAGTGGGATCCATATCATGTTGACGACAATAAGCCTCGAAAGATAACCATTTCTGATCATACAAGGAGGCCATAGAAAGGTGGTGTGTGTAACAAATAGCATCAGTCGTCACCATAGAGAACCCCTAGCCATCGATGTGTTCTGCAAATGGAACACATGTAGATCCAGACACAGATATGGTTGACGAGTGTGTGGATTTCTCAGCAGACCAGGAAATATGTCTGGCTCTCACGCGAGTCGGAGCAGGTGCGGAAAGCCATGTCCGAATAGGCCAATAAGACACTACCAAAAGAATCTGGATGTTCCCTGTTAAGGTAATACACATCTGTAGTGCCTGCACAGTGCCTTCAGCCTGAGCAGTGGAGAGAGTTTTCTCATAAACCTCCTGAACCTTGTTATTGAAGAGATTCTCTGATGACCAGGGTTGACGAAACAAGTATTTGTCACAGAGTGACGAAATATCCCCCGCCTGTACACCATAGTACCAAATATGAAGACAATCCAGCGATTAGTTCTTGAGATATTGTGGCAACACCGTTTTCCAACTCCAAAAACAGATTTGCCTGCTGTGACCTTGAAAATGGGGTCAAGGTCACCAAATCTGACAGGTGTATGCGGTGTCTGTATATACACTATAGTTCCAAATATGAAGATAATCCAGCGATTAGTTCTTGAGATATTGCGGCAACACCGTTTTCCAACTCCAAAAGCAGATTTGCCTGCTGTGACCTTGAAAATGGGGTCAAGGTCACCAAAACCGACTGGTGTCTGCGGTGTCTGTATATACACCATAGTTCCAAATATGAAGACAATCGAGAGGTTTAGTTCTTGAGATATCGCGGCAACACCGTTTTCCAACTCTAAAAGCAGATTTGCCTGCTGTGACCTTGAAAATGGGATCAAGGTCACCAAAACCGACTGGTGTCTGCGGAGTCTGTATATACACTATAGTTCCAAATATGAAGACAATCCAGTGTTTAGTTCTTGAGATATCGCGGCAACACCGTTTTCCAACTCCAAAAGCAGATTTGCCTGCTGTGACCTTGAAAATGGGGTCAAGGTGACCAAAACCGACTGGTGTCTGCGGTGTCTGTATATACACCATAGTTCCAAATATGAAGACAATCCAGTGTTTAGTTCTTGAGATATCGCGGCAACACCGTTTTCCAACTCCAAAAGCAGATTTGTCTGCTGTGACCTTGAAAATGGGATCAAGGTCACCAAAACCGACTGGTGTCTGCGGAGTCTGTATATACACCATAGTTCCAAATATGAAGACAATCCAGTGTTTAGTTCTTGAGATATCGCGGCAACAAACAGGTGGGACGTACGTACGGACGGTCGTGAATAAGTCAAACAAAAGCAACGGACGCCTACCAACCTCCTCAATATAGGCCTGGCGACGAATAAGGAGGAGTGAGCCCATGGCGTGCATAAGGAGAAGAGTTGTGTTGAGTCCAGTCGCAATGTACCTAGTTTCCTCCATTCTGAGGACGGGGTTCTCAGAAAACGTTTTTAACAACATCTGTAATATTCTAAATTGTTCTTTTTGCAATGATAGACCAATAATATTTTGTTATTATTATGGCATATCAATATGTTAAATACCCGTGAAGATCTGAGTTAAAATAGTTCTTCAGCAATCCATGCTTGCCTTAAAAGGCAACTATGCTTGTTGTAAGAGGCAACAAACAGGACCGGGTGGTCAGGCACGCTGACTTGGTTGATGCATGATATCAATCACTGGATGGTCTGGTCGAGATTTGTTTATTTACAGACAGCTATCATATAACTGGAATATTGCTGAGTGTGGCGTTAAACAAACAAACAAAAATTTAAAAAATTATATTGCTCCCCATCGATGTCGGAAAATAATTACAAAAACATTGAGAGTGGGATCAATGCACTACAATTTCGGATTTACACATCGGCGGCAATCAAGAACAAGAGTTTGCCACTAACGAGCCTTATCATATAATGGGTAGGCTTCTCGGCAGGATAAAGCCAACGTATAAAAATGATATCCGTTGGGGTCATATGCAGATAGAGATGCAAATATCAAAGGTCAAGTAGGGACTACTTTCACTGTTTATAAACAAACATGGCGTCACCCTCGTCATTCTGCGATCGAGTCAGAATTAACCATCTGGAATCTGGATAAACTACAGGGATAATTGCTATCATTATCAAAAGAACAGTCTAATATACTGAAAATCAGTGTCTAACTGTGACGTAGCTAAGGCATTTTATAAGTTTTGGCAACTTTGGAGTTATAAATTTCGAAACAATTTTGCGAGGGCACGAGGCCTAGCCAAGCGGGATCAGTGCTTGTAGACCTCTGCGGCTTGAAACCTCCACAAATTAAAATAGTTGGATTTGGCTGAAATATGTTTGAATTGTTACCTTGTTTCGTTTTGTCGCTGTGTGTACATCTGACTACACTTCTTAACGTTATGACAGGATAGACCAACTGTCAACAACGTCTGACCATGGCCGTGACGTGGCATAGAGTAGGGTTGAGTAGCTCCCCTTTGACAAAGGGCAGTTACTCTAGCGGCCAGACCGATGGATTGCCGCGAAAGGCAATTAAAAACAATTGTTGTTTTGCGTATATGTTGCTTTGCCTCTGTATAAGAAACAGATTTCAGTTGGAACTATATTGGCTACTGTCACTCTCCGACTGACACATCACTTACCCTGTGACGTAAAAATATTAATGAGCGCATTCCAGGAAAACTCGCAATGTTTCGGTAACATTTGTGAGAGAGGAAAGCGATTTTGAAGCACAGAATTAAAGAATGACATTATATGATAAAGAGGTTATCACACTTGCGTGTTTGGGGATGTTAAATATCCTGTATTAGGAATAAACACAATGTTTATTCCTAATGCAGGATATTAAACATCCCCAAACACACTCGCGTGATAACCACTATATATCCCCCGCCCCTGTTGCAGAATTTATGACATAATTAAATCTAAACAAACCTTAACCTTTTTTAACCGAGGTGGAACTTGTCATGGAAATTGTAAAAAAAAGATGAGTTTGGAACCTAAGTCCATCTTATTGCCATGGAAACGTAAAAAAT